CCAGAATATTCGTATTTTACAAAAAATCGCAGGTTGTTCCATGACCGGCACAAGGTCTGGAACAACAAACAGCTTGCTGGTGTTAGAACTAGAAATAAAAATGTTGTAAACATTTACGAAAAATGAGCTTCGTTACGACGATATCGTTCTTAACTTAAAGCTCGCCCCGTAACGTGGGTAGATCACCTTTTGGTGGTATGTTACGGGATGTAAGATCTACCACCGATTCCTAGTCCTGACTACTTCAAACTTTCAGTAATCAAAGGAACACATCTTAGTCCTTTTTACTTTTTATGCCTTGTTGATAGTGACAAGAATCGGCTTTGTCCACCGAGGATGATCTTGAAACAAGGAAAAAATTAGTTAGTCTTCATCTATGTGAATTCTAATCTTCTATTCGTTGTTTCTAGTTTGAAGTGGTTAAGTCTAGGGTTCTGATGCATAGTCATTATCGGTGTCATTGCTTAATTGTGTTGCTAAGGAATCCAGTTTTGACTGACAACAGGGCGTGAACCGAATAATTCTTCATTTCTCAATAGTGATGGAGTAATACGAAATGCACCAAACTTAGGCACGGGATATACCAAATATATAAAATTACTGGTTGCAGTGGTTATATGTCCCGAACATGTCCACGCCTGCCCGATATCATGCGATCGACTCTCCAGAAATGAGAGAGCGAGATATATTTTATAGAAAATCGCCAGTCGGATCGGATGATATCGGGTAGGTGCGGATTAAGCTTAATTCAAAAACAGCTAGTTGAAGAGGTGAGCCTCCTTTAAACCACCGCCGGTTGTCAAGGTGATCCATTCATCATGGCGTCCGCTGTGAGGAAGTTTTTTTTTTGCATGACATCAGAAGAAAAAAATCCACCTTTTACCGCTGACGATGCCGCTCGTACCTTGAGCGATTCACTCATCACGACGTTCGATGCGAAAATGAGCGGAGGCGTGTAGTAAAATAGTAAAATTTACATTTATTTTCTGGTTTTTTATGTTTCAACATTTGGTTTAACATTTCAATTGGTTAGCCTTTGGCTCTTCATCTTTGTTCTAGTTAATTGGTTATTCTAATGTGATGATTGCGTGTAGCGCTAATTTACATGGTACCCTTTTCTGGGATTGCTTTCGTTTGAATTAAAAAAAAAATTATAACCTACCTACTTGAGCACAGGAACCTACCTAACTACTTAAACTAGGTTGCCAAATCACGAATGATCTGGTATTTTGATCGCAGACAGGCGACTCTGAACCTTTCCAGCGTGGAAGTCTTTCGCTCCTCGAGTGTTTGAAGACCGGCCAGGTGGTGAATCTCAGAATTACGAATTCGCAGTGGACTGTTAGGGATCATTCTGAGGATCTTGTTTTGGATCCCCTTAAGCTTTAGGTGGTGGCACTTAGCACAACTCTCCCAGATTGGCATACCATACTCAATAGCCGGCAGAATGATCTGCTTGTGGACAGCAAGCTTGTTTTTGAGGGACAGGGTGGACTTCCTGTTTATCAGAGGGTAGAGCGACCTGATGTTACACTTGGTGGATGTCTTTTCCACATGGGATCGGAATAGCAATTTGCTATCGAGTTTGAGACCAAGGTAAACTACTTCACTCGACCATTCAATGGGAGTGCTATCAAGATGGACCTTGACGTTAGCAGGTGGAACAAGCCGAGCCGAATTCGAGTGTGGAAACAGAATGGTTTGCGTTTTAGCTGCATTGATACAAATCTTCCAGCTCTTGAAATAGTCGGACAGAACATCCAGGCCTAATTGTAGTTTACTCGCCAAAGCACGGATCACTCGACCCTTATAGATGATGGAGGTGTCATCTGTGAACATTGACAGGATACCACCACCCAGTAGGGGAGGAACGTCTGACGTGAAAATGTTGAATAGGATAGGCCCAAGCAGGCTACCCTGAGGGACCCTTGCATCAACGTTGAACGTCTAAGAGGGGACACTGTTCAAGTAGACCTGGAATTGATCTGCCCGGTAAGTAGTTTTTGATGATCTTCACGAGGTAGATCGGAAAGTTGTATCGATGCAGCTTGTACACTAGACCATCATGCCAGACATTGTCGAACGCCTTCTCGACGTCCAACATTGCCATGGCAGATGTATTGGAAACGGACTTATTTCGCTTGATGATTTTAGTAGCCCGTGCGAGTTGGTGGATGGTAGAGTGGCCTTTCCTCAACCCGAATTGCTCTTTGAAAAAGATGTTATTGTCATTTGAAAACACCAGCACACGGCTGAGTATTAACTTTTCGAATAGCTTCGAGATGGAGGACAAGAGGCTGATGGGGTGATAGCTTTTGGCACTGGTAGGATCTTTGCCAGGCTTGTGTATTGGAATCACTTTGGCTAACTTCCAGCATGCAGGGAAGTAGCCAAGCTTCAAACATTTGTTGAAGATAAGATAAGATGGTTGAAGAAGTCAATACTCAAGTTTTTCAATCCGAGGCCTTCATGTTTTAGTGCTTCTAATAATAGCTGCTATCAACTCATCAGCCAATATTATACTATCACGCGGGTGTCAGTGACTCTAAACATTGTCTCCAGTACGCCAGGCCCATGGGGGCTCACCATAGTTTGGCCAAGATTATGTGAAATCACAAAATGTTGGCCAAGAGCATTGGCCTTTTCAACTGGGGTTATGAGTAGGAATGGGTCCAAGTTCTGGTCAACAGAGGAAAGCGGAGGGTTAGGTCTCGACGGAGACCGACTTAAACTTTACAAGTTCAAGCAGAATGATGAGCAACCAAGTGGTACTCGATTATGATGACTGGGCTAGGGAAAACGTTCCCGTGATAAAATTATAACGTTTTATTTGTACATTTATCAAAAGTTTTTGTTATGGAAAAATGGAAAATTATTCATTTCAGAACATACGTAGAGCTATTTCCTAACGATTGGTATATTTGAATTTTAATTTCTACTATAAATGACAAAGTAATAAGCGTTCAATACCTAACACCTTTTCGTGACGGTAGCAATTTTACATTTTTGACTTACCTGTACCTGTACCTTCTCGTAAGACGTATTGATGCTTTGTTCTATATAAAAATTAAATATGAATGATTTAATTTTAATTCAAGATTCCATAGTAATGAGTTTATAAAATATCGCTAAACTCGATTTTTTGCTCAAAAATTTACCAACTTGTTATGCATCAGATAAAATTCAAAACGAACTTTCATATTCTAGAGGAAATCAGGTAAAATAAACTTGATCGCTATCACACAAGCCAATCATCCCATTTTCCCTAGTGTATCTTAAATATTTCCCACTCATCCAAATGGATCTGTCTGTTTGCTACTTCTGTCATCAAACTATGAGTCAAAAAAAAATCCTCAAATTCCCATATACGGCCATGGCGATTCCAAGAGAAAGTCAATTAAGAGAACCGAGATTTTGTATTTGATATCTTTTCAATAACTTTATAAAACAAATGGAACTTGATTCTTAATGCGGAAAGCTTTGCAGTGGTAGTATAAAGCAATATGCACGGCTATTTTATAATAAGATGTTGTTATTTTTATTTAATATCATGTTTTGTGTGTAACCGTAATACTCCAAATAACGGGCGGTTCATCAATCCAGACATTTAATTTTTAATTAAGTATTCCGAGTACTCTTCAACATAATAAACATGTGTGATGAACGATTTAATGTTAAAATTGATGTGCTATTTTGAACATGGTAGATATTGATAATCAACTTTTAAATGTGTCCGAATTTCGATGCTTGCTTTGCGGTACTTGAGACGCTGAGATGACATGGACATTGCCGAAAGGATTTCAAGATTTAAAAATACGTTTTACAGTGTACCCCTTTCATGAATCAACATCTAGTTGACATCGACTCACTGAAAACTGTTTTTATACACACTTACTCAGTCTGTTTAATACTTGATGTCAACATCTCGGATCGAACTCATTGAACTTCCTTGAGACATTCCATCCTCAAGGACAAGGTCAGAAGAGCATTTTAATTATTCAAATGCTTGTTCCTCGAAATTCAATGCAGTTAAAAACCTAGGGGTAAACATAGAACGCACATTGTCTTCCTGACATCACCGTGGAACAAACTCATTAATCAAAATAATCCCTTTATTGTACCTCTGCACCCGTTCCAAAATGATGTAACGCTAAACAAACCGAATTTCCATACAATTTTTCCTACCCTCAGTCACCATTTTCGCCACCATATCGCATTATGATTGGCTTCAATTTGCCCCGCCTTTTTAATAACAGCGCGATAGGACGAAAAACATGATAATAAACAACCGCACGCTGCTGGCAGTACAGTCCTTTATCCAATTTTCCTCGGATGATGCTACGACGGAGGCGCACAACAATGTTGGCACCCTTCTCTCCGAACCATTGAATCGCAGCAACAGATCCTTGATTTAACCACACAAAAATTATCATAATCTCAATACATGCTGAGGCGGAGAGAGAAGGAGAGGTGTGACAAGCTGAGATAGAAAGAGCATACGCGATCATCATCATCACACCATCCTTGCAACATAATAACAATAGGAGCGCAAGCGCTAAATATAATTACGTTACCGAAGATTGTCGTGGATAAGTGGGAGGAAATATAATTCAATTAAATATGTGCAGTGGCACACTTGTTTCCTAGCTCTGTCTAGAATTCCCTCGGACTGAAGAAGAGTGGTTGTTGTTGTTGTTGTTGGATGATTACTTTTTAGATTTGTTTTGCTGTAGGATTTTAATTAATTGTTTTTTAACTTGGGAAAAGGAGACAATAGCAAAAATTTACCACCCCAATCCAAGCTAGAAGGCGGATAATAACGTGAAAATGAGCTACCGCACTCTCCGGGCTCATTCGATTCGCTCCCTCTCTTGAAAATACTGCAGACCGCCGCGTGCTGTACAGGGAACAGGATATTCAAACAGGGAGGCAATGTAGATTTGCATCAATTTTAAGGGATGTTTATGATAAAAATCTGCAGTCCTATTGTAGGCCTGGAGCAGGTCGGTTGTGCAATTCGAAGGGAAATAAAGCAAGTGCTCATAGTATAAATTGCTCATTGGTAGTGAAATTGAAAAGCTTGGAGATTGATTCCAACACGATGGCTGGACCGTTTCTGTCGCCACTGCCGGGTGACTTGCTAACGGAATACATGTTCGGTCGCAGACGTCAACGAAGGAATAGAACTACTTTCACGCCACAGCAACTGCAAGAGCTGGAGACTCTGTTCCAGAAGACGCACTATCCGGATGTATTTCTTCGAGAGGAGGTTGCCCTCAGGATTAGCCTCAGTGAAGCACGGGTGCAGGTGACGTGATGTGTTCTTTTTGTTTCTGGTTGATGTTCGTTGTTATTGGAATAAAATATGACTTTAAATATTGAATAATTCAATGAACTGTGATATAATTTAAGGCATGCAGAATTGTTTGAAAATGTATTGAAGTGTGTATTCAAAAGTCATGTGCTTTTCAACGTTAATGTACTCCGCTTAAGGTGAATATTTGCAGAGTCCTTTTTGCATGACACTTCGAAATTGCATATGTCAAAATAGCAAGGTCAAGGTGTTTGTGAATACACGTAGCAGACACTAAAATCAATTGTTTGCTGCGGAGAAGACGTTGTGGGTAAAGACATGCAACGTCGGCAAGCATGAGAGCTCTCAATTATCAAGTGTGGGATTTTTAACGGAACATTCCATGTAGAGCAGCCCGAACTGGAAAACGAACCCGCTGCTCTAAAATGGTGATCCTATAGTTATGGTTTCATTGTGGATATTAGTACGAGATTAATTAGGTCCCAATCTTAAGTCCGGAATCTCAAAATTTTCCTAAAATTGTGATCTCGAAAAGTCCGGCACCATGGTCATCGAATCTGATATCATTCTATGATTATTAAAAATCCAAGTGCTCTCCAAAAATCCGAGAGCTTAATTAGATTTAAAATTGACAGTTCAGAAGAGTTTACTTTAATACGGGATCATTAAAAAATATCCAAGGAGATGTCAACAAACTATGAGCAAATTTTATGATGGATTTTACGCACACTGAAAAAATTCTAAATTTTAACCATCGCGTAATATTTTCCCTCGTTTAACCTTCCTAATGTATTAGGAAAAATTTACACATTGTTTCGGCCAAAAATGACTGCCATGTGCTAGAAAGGTTAATTTTAAGCTATAGTCGGCATGAACAACGAAATTGTTTACACCCGTGTATGCAACATTGCTAGGTTTATGCGATATTTCAATTTAATTTATATTAAATAGCGAGTAAATTTACGCTAAATCTAGCGTTATACATCGCAGAAATTTACATTGAAATTACAAACTGTACAGGAGCCACCCCCTGCGTGGACAGTTATCCATACAAAATTAAATTTAACAATAAAACAATAATGTAAGCACTGTGAACATTCAACAAATCTCTCACTCTAAAATTATGTGGTTTTTAAACCGCATCCCGCATTTTTTTTTCTTTTTCAATTACAGAGTCTTGATGATTTTTCTTAGTTCGACGTCTTGAGATCTCGAAATAAAAATGTCTGACCCAAAATTTCAATTACTTTCCAATCCTCAGATATTGATGATGATGACAGTGGTCTACCAGCGGCGCTGGTGGTGTAGTGGAAAGCGTGATTACCTCTCACCCCACTAGGCCTGGGTTCAATCCCAGTCGGCTCCGCCGGGATGTTCTGAGGCATACCATCTCTGATCACGCCTTCCATCGGAAGGGAAGTAAAGCCTTTGGTGCCCGGTTCATGAGTTGATGGGTCGATAGATATGATCCAGGTGTGGGAGCTGCCTCCTTGGCGTCGGTAGCATTGGTGCTCTAGACGGAAAACAAGATCGACGGAAAACAAATCAAAGGAAACAAATAGTGGTTTACCACTCATTGTAGTACAGAAACTAGTCCGATAGCTGTGGGCTCTCCTCACTGTTGAACTTGATTAAACATAATAATCTCTGATTGTCATTAGCAAATCGCTGAATGAAGGGCCAACATCGAAGGGACGGATTGATAGACAATTCGCCTATTCATTTCCTTGGGACAGTTAAGAATCTCCTTCCAACAACTTGATCAGCCAATTGGTCAGAAAACGAGCCATCTAACAGGAAGATGCCCCAATGAATGGGGAGAAGAGCCTGCCCTTTATCTACGAAATGTTAGCAACAGGGAGTTGAAATCTTCACTCTCCCCATCCAAATCGCTTCAATTGATGGTCCCTCCTCATCCCGAATTTTCGATATATAGTAATATGCAGTGTTGGAAAAATATCAAATAATCGCTCTTCCGTTCACTATCAACCATCAAGCTGTCAAAGGCTTGAAAAGTCTATCTTCCATTTAATTCCACTTAATTTGGTATCCATGACGGATACGTATTTCGACTACAATTTGCAGTTTTCATCAGTGTCATTCCCACTAAAGAACTTATCAAAATCTAACCCCCTTAAGTACTCCTCTCCTAGGTTAAAAAAGTCAAGATCACAGGTATATAAATGAAACTACAAAGTGTTGAATCGGAACCTACCTAGCTAATAAAAACCAAAGATTTAAGCAAAGTAAAGGAGAAAAAGTTGGAGGGTGGTGTACCGCATTGTTGACGTAGGACTACGAAATTTTTGTTCGATTTTCTAGTTTGTTGTTTCGGATATTATTTTGTAATCAAGTGAATTTCATAACTCAACTTTTTTGAAGTGTTTATTCGCGTTTATACATATCACTTGCGCAGGAAATCAGTTTGGCACGGCATTTGTGACCAGCATACCTTCCGGTGGCATAAAACAGGTAAAAATTTGCCCAAATCTGCCAATAAATTTGTTTGTTTTGCATTTGCTTATAGCAAAATAGTGGACTTTTCGAGAACATTAACGCCAAAGAACTCACCAACACACTTTTTGTCACATGCCTCATGCATGTGATTTGGTTTACAGCACACTTCTTCCGATATTTTGATCACCTTATAGAAAAGGCGATGACAGTTGAATATCGGGAATTGGAATTCAAATTATTCTTAAAAATATATTTATATATTTGTTTACTGGTTCAAATTACAGCTGGGAAGATAAAATCATTATTGCAAATTGAAATTGTTGTAATGTTTTATCGAATAATTTACCACTTCAATGAGGACCGCTACTGTTCTCTGTTTTATCAAATTAAATAAAAAATATTCATTCTTTAGGACAAGAAAGAGATGTGGAGAAAAATGTTTATCTTTAACAATGTATGTTAATTGATATGTAGTATTGGCAAAAAATACAATTTTAGAGAGAAATAAATGTATCATATAATTTAATTCTTTTTAGACGAACTTTTCTTGAAACAATAAACATAGAAAATATATAAGATTCTATCAAATGTTTCTTCTCTAAACTGAGGGTTGACATAAAAATCACATAAAGATAATGCAAAATGCAAAGCAATGTTAGGATAAATTTTATCGTTCAATTTTCTAAATTGCACTGTGGGAGTCCCAATTAGTAGTTGGCGACGCATTATCTTTGACCGCTTTCTTGTTGGCTCGACACATTTGAACGTTTTCAGCAGCGGTCCGCGTCTGGTTCGCAGGTTTTCCTGCCTCCTGGTCTCTCACGCGCTTCCGATAATTGCGGAGATATTTAGCTGCCATGTATTGAGACATTTTGAAGATTTGCACAGAATTTCTCAATAAACACTTGTCTTGCTTCGAATATTGACTCTATCCAACGCGGAGTGTAAACACTGAAGCATTTACTGTACCAGTTGGAATTTAAAGAGAATGCTACAATGCATAATCACGATGCTCTTTGAATATGATGTCTGTGTTTGGGAAACAATCACAAACTGAAATTTTGATTGCCTTTCATTTTGAACACACCGGTAAAGTACACAGACTCCTCCCATCATGAGTAGTTTGCTATCAAGTTGCAACACTGGCTCCTCTCCTTTTGTACTCTCTGTACTCTGTATTATTCAACGGTTCGGACGATTTCGAAGATGTCGCGTAGTAGGAGAATGCATACGATGAGGGTTTCTCAGTTTATTAAAGTGAAACGGAATAAATTTAACCCACCAATAAGACTACAAATGCTTGGCACGACCAGTCATCGATGCTTGATGTTTGTCGTTGAACGGGTGAATCTAAACTAAGCCAAAAGCGTAGTTAGCAACCTGTTATATAGACAACCAGCTCTGCCGGTACCATATTTTCTCGCTTCCCATTGGCTACATACAGTCATGATGTCCTGATGTCCGTGATGCCGTCACCTATACTGAACACGCCAAGCGCAAAACCGTCACATGGATGTCGTCTACACTCTGAAGCGACAGGGACGCACTCTGTACGGTTTCGGAGGTTAAAACTTATCACCAACGTAACAAAACGGCCCTTTTCAGGGCCACCAAGTTCATTTTAGAAAAGTGTAACGAGGTAACTCTAAGACCACTGGGTCCCGAAGAAAATCATTATTATTTTTGGCTCACTCAGTACCAGAACAACGGTCCCAAGCAGTCCCAAGCTATTTCACTCACCCCTGCATGTTCTGCATGAATCCACACACCCCTGATGTTATCTGTCAAACTTTCATAGCGAATCAAAACAAACATAGTGTAGTAATAGAATTTCAACTAGAATAGGGTACGTTAATCGTTTGCTTGGGACCAATAGGCTACTAAAGTGGTGAGCCAATTTTAAATCGTTAGTTTCGTATTGATTGTTGAGTGTACTTTGTATGTTTGTACAAGGTATAAGCGTAATTACCTCGGTTCAATCCCAGTCGGCCCCGCCGGGATGTTCTGAGACATAACATCTCTGATCACGCCTTCCTTCGCATTGGTCCCCGTTTCTTGAGTTGTGATGGGTTGATAGGTAGGGTTCAGGTGTGGATGGCATTTGTGCTCAGTACGGAAAACAAGATCGACGGAAAACAAATCCAAGGAAAAAAACGGAGAGCATTTTGTGTGGTCGTTGGGAGCGTGTGGTTCTGAATTGGCAGCAAAATCTACCGCAATTGCATCCACCCTATTCGCAGACTTGTTTCAGCTAGGAACCATTCTCTGATGACTGTGTTGGGGAAGCAGCATATGCATTAACGTAATTGGTGGATTTGTTAGTTATTTCGAAACTTTTGGACAATTCTTGAAAATTTCCAATTTTTCAATAGTTTCAACTAGAACATTAACAGTCAAAAGCATTGTTATCGATGCGTAGAAATATTTCTGATCGATTGGTGATAAATTTTTTGAAATTGGTCCAGGGGAATCTAAGATATTAACGTTCAAAATCTTTCATAATTTCATTTTTTGGTTTTCATAAAATGTACCTCATC